CTACCTCAGGGTCTTCACACTGTTGTTTCTTCTGCTCTAGTCACCCTTCTCAAAGATATACAAACTGTATTTTTTTTACCTTCCTTTACACGTTTTTTTTTTTCTGTTATATCTTTCTTATTTAAAGTTAGAAATGATTTCCTTATTCTCGTGGCACGCCCTATACTTCTTCTTCCTTCTGTAACATTTTTATTTTTATTGTACTATTCATTTTGTTTTATTGTTTCTTTTTCAGAGGGTAGATGTTTTATCTACTTTATAATTCTATATACTCATCATCTGTAACTACCTAACAAAGTAATTGATTGGTAAATTTTAGTTTAATGCACTTCAGAAAAGGTGTTTCTTTAGGCAGGAAATATTGGCAAAGTTCAAGGAGAAATAAATTTGTTACATATGTCTCACTTTTCATAACTTGAAAAATTATAACTTTCATTAGATGTCTGTTTTTTATTTTATTTTTTTAATTTTTTATTAATTACACTTTATTCATTTTGTATCCCCCCATAAGCCCCTCCCTGCTCCCCTCCCGATCCCACCCTCCTTCCCCTTTCTGCATGCATGCCACTCCCCAAGTCCACTGATAGGGGAGGTTCTCCTCTCCTTTCTGATCTTAGTCTATCAGTTCTCATCAAAATTGGCTGCATTGTCCTCTACCGTGGCCTGGTAAGGCTGCTCCCCCCTCAAGGGGAGGTGATCAAAGAGCAGGCCAATCAGATTATGTTAGAGGCAGTCCCTCTTCCCATTACTATGTAACCCACTTGGACACTGAACTGCCATGGGCCACATCTGTGTAGGAGTTCTAGGTTATCTCCACGAATAGTCCTTGGTTGTAGTATGAGTCTCTGGGAAGTTCCCTGTGTTCAAATTATCTTGTTCTGTTGCTCTCCTTGTGGAGTTCCCATCCCCTCCAGCTCTTACTATTTCCCACTTCTTACATAAAATTCCATTCACTTTGCCCATCAGTTGGCCATCAGGCTCAGCATCTGCTTTGACAGTCTATACTGCAGAGGCTTTCAGAGGCCCTCTTTGCAGGTTTCAAGGTTGTTTCCTGTTTTCTTCTGGCTTTCAGAGACCCTCTGTAGCAGGTTCCGAGGTTGTTTCCTATTTTCTTTTTCTTCTGATGACCATTTCTGTTATGCCTCTTTCTGCAAATTTTAAATCACAAATTAAATTTTATAATGCCAAAAATTATATATGTAAATATTATATTATATATATATTATATATATATATATTGAAGTATAGATTACAGGTTAAAATCTTTATATTCCTTACAAATATATAAAATTATAAATTGCAGTATGACATGGTTTAAAACTTGCTGGTGAATAAACATTTAAATCTTTTATCAAAATAAATTTCAAAACTAAACATTTTACAAAAAGTTGTTCCAAGATGGAGGCAACCATTGTCTACCATATCTAAGGGAAAAATGATCAAAGACTGTAAAACCTGTGAGCAAACAGGTGTTTGGATCCAAAACACCAACTTTGGTGCTTACCTGAGTGGAGGGGACACCTCAGGAGTTGGTAATGATCAGATCCAGGACCCCATGGCCATCTCTCTGGTTCAGGAGTCACAAACAATGAAGCCCCTGTCCTTTCCACTTACTCGAGAGAGTGCAGGCCTCCAAGTCCAGGGACCCTCCACTCCTCTGGATTTCTCCCACTTCCCTGAGGGCAGCATCTGGACTCGTGGGACAGGATCCAAATCTCCAAACCATGGTTCTACTGGTCCCACTGTGGAGAACAGGTGGACAATAAAGTCATAGGGTTCCAGATTCCAAGATGGCAGAGCCCATACAAATCTGAGTCTGAGGAACACAGTGTCTGGTAGGTGTGTAGGCTGCAGCTCCAATGCCTTCTGAAGCACCAGATATCCGGTGATTGCCACCTGAGGCTGTTGCCTGCCCCCCTCCCCGCAAATTCCACCTGAGGTGCCTGTGCTCCCTCAGCTACCACCTGAGACTGCCAAGCCCTTCTCTTCAAGGCCCATGCCCTCACCCCTTACACTTGAAGGCACTTGTGCCTCTGCCATTGAAGGCTCCCATGCCCATGCCCTGCCCTTTAAGGCCCCTGAGCCAGCCACCTGCCTTCCTAAACTACCGCCCCAGTGTGTTTGCTTTTGTAATACTGGAACCCATTCATGTTCCCCTGGAACTCTCTTGTCATCCTGAAGACTATTGCAGACTCTAGACTCCAGAGAAGGGTGGATCCAGTTTTCAGTGGAGGTTCAAGGAATAAACAGCCAAGGCTATGGACAACCAGATGGCTAAAGGCCAGCATAAGGACACAATCAACAAAAACCAGAACATCTGGCTCCACCAGAACCCCCCCCCAAAAAAAACAATGCATATTCTAATGTAGGAGAAACACAGAAAAATGACCTTAAATGTAAATGACAACTGAATATGTAGTAAGAACTTTTTTCTATTTCTTTACTTATTTCCAAACAAGCATGTCTCTCACTGTGTATGAATCTCAGATAAATATTAAATTCAAAGCTAATAAGTATAAAAATATGTTCAACACATGTATCTTAAGCCAAAGAGTCCTTTTTTATTATTATTTTACATCAAGTGTGTGGTAAAAGTTTTTATTTTGAGAAAATCATTTCAGATTTTCAGTAATAAAAAAGGCTGCCAGACAACTCCTTATAAATTAAAATATAACTACAACATTTTCTATCTTCTCTCTTTTCACTCCAACCCTTCCCACACACCCCACACATACCTTTTCCCTCTCAAAAACATGGTCTTTTTTAGCATTTATTGTTGTGTATGTACGTGTGTACGTGTGTGTATGTGTGTGTGTGTGTGTGTGTGTGCATAGATACATAAATACAGCCTGCTTTGTTTCTTTAGTGTTAGTTGTATGTTTATGATTTCAGGATGACCACTTGTTACTGGATAACTAATAAGGGCGCTCATCTCTGGGAAAGAATGTTTCTCTAGTTCTTGGTAGTTGCCTGTAGTTCTTCATCTTTTGTTGGACCATCATGAAATTTCTTTCTTCCATTTTAGCATGTCTATTAGTGTTGTACTTCTTCAGGTCTTGTTTAGATATTGTTTAGATATCACAGCTGGAGTTCCCCTGTGACAACTCTTGAGGTTCCTCATTTTTTCCAATATTCCCTTGATGTGTCTGCCTTCATTCTTTTCCTTCTGTTTCATCTTACAGAATAATATACCCAAAATAAGCCTGGATGATAATTACTGTTTCATGAAAAGTAATTTTTATTCTGCAGCTGAAATTATTTACTTTTCCTTTGAACTTCGATATGCCATTTAGCCTTCAATTTTTGGTACTTAATCAATTCATTATAAAAGTAATTAAGATATAGAGATGATCATAGTACAATAAAAGCTGTCTTGATCATTTTGTAATTTATTCTCATAGTTCATAATTTTTGTTTTCACTGTGAGACAAAATCTTTTTTGTTATGAGCCAAAAAACAAATATAGATAAACTAGTGATAATCATGTATTTCTGCAAATAAAAATTAAAGGAGATATGTCACAAAGTTTTCATAGAATTTTAAAAATGTGATAGGTGAATTAGGTTTTCACATAACACATTGTAGAATGAACAAGGCAATTCAAAAGAACTGCCAGCCACTTAACCACTAAGCATCATATCATTTTAAAGAATATTTTTGCCTTTGCGTGTTTGTACAATGTACATATGTGTATATTTGCATGTTCATTTTTGTAAGCAGAGGCATATCTATGCCATGGCATGAATGTGCAGTTTTGAGGAAACCCTTAGGTGTCGGTTGTTATTTCCCACTTATCTGAGACAAGCCACCTGGGAATCTGGCCTCAGGGGATTCTCGTTTCTCCAGCATGACATAGGAGCCCTGCGATTACATACATGTGACCGTGTCTGACTTTTTTCTTAGTTCCAGTACTGCAAACTCAAGACCTCATTTGTGCAACAATACTTCTGTTCCCAAACCATCCCTCAGAATTCATCCTCGGCAAGGCAGTCAGCCAAGATCAATTCATATTAACCTGAAATGTCTTTTTTGGTGGTTATTTTATTTAATTTGTAAATATACTAACAGTATTTTGTATGAATGAGCTGTGTATAGTCAGTTTTGCATATGTATATCAACATCAGGTAATCTAAATCAACAAGAGTCTGTTAAGACTTTTTTGCCTTCAAAATATTTGTATATTACTACACAGAAGTACTGATATAGAAGATATGTTATGATTGGGGTCAGAGTAAGAAGTACCTAATTGGATTATAGCTGCATTCTGACTGTTCCATGAAAACTAATCAATTTTTATTCACATGGCAAGAAGCCATTTGTCAAGAATTGTAGAAAGTGTGTTATTCAGGTCTTAAATCAATATGCACATTTATTGGGTATTACATACATATACTACTTTTAAAAGTAGATAAGATAAAAAGTAACTTTTAATTTCTTTTCTGCACCACGGGTTTGATATTTTATTGCTTTCATCAGTGTCCCCGTGTATGAAATGTATCATATCATTTATACTGTATCATTTTATAATCTGTACAGAGTATTTAAAATATCTTAAATAAGTAAAAATCTGCATTGTCCCTTAAAACATGCTTTTATTTGTACAATATTAATAGAAGTTGAACATAGGCTACATTATTGTGGTTTATTATAAATTTGATGTGAATTTAGATACATACTTTTAATTCAACAGTGGCTATATAACTAGAAATATTTGACAAGCAAATGAAATAATTTTAATATAATTTCACCTTTATTTTATGAAGAAAATGTTATCAATACAATATTTATATTAAGACTAATTGAATATTGTAATTGATTTAATAAAGTTCTATAAATAGTATAATTTTGTTTATATTCAGCATTATTTTTACCCACCACTCTCATTGCAAAAGAAACCCTTGTCTTTGAGAGAATTCAGTGGTGTTATTTACATTAATTTATATGGCGTGGTTAAAAAAATGCTAGCTCCTTTACTTAATGGGATTCTTCCCTTGTTGCAGTGCAAACGGCTGCACCAGGAGCTTCACCGTCTGAAAGAGCAAAACCAGACTTCTGCAAACAACATGAGACATCCGACTGCTGAAAACAATCAGGAACGTGCTCTGAAGGTAAATGGCTGTTCCTTCTTGCAGGCAAATTAAGGTTGTAAGCCCTTGGTGCCAGCTTTCTGTGCTGCATATATCAGTTGTGTACATTTCAGCAAAAGTGAGCTGTGCTGTTTGCCAACAACTCCTTCTTTAAACACGGATACAGCACCCTTCTGTTATGGTATTATTTTATTTCATGTATGGGTACATGATAAAAACATATTTCTGAATTTTGAGAGGTTGTATATTAAAAACTTCTGGTATATATTCATTGTCTTGCTGGTTTTAGATTATTAGCTTTTGTACTTAATAAAAAGTGGTCACTCCGAAAGAAATAATAAATCATCAGCCTATACTTTGTAGCGACATTTATTGTAACAATTTTAAATGTATTGTTGTATTTGTGACCCAGAGAACTGACAGTCTGTGAAGTAGATGTGAATGTGTTTGGAAGTTGCAGCAATACTTAAAATGTGGGAAGGAAGGGAGGAAGGAAGGAAGGAGGAAGGGAGGGAGGGAGGGAAGGGAGGGAAGGAAGGAAGGAGAGAAGGAAGGAAGAGAAAAGAAAGAAAGGGCAATGTTTTCAACTAGAATTTGAAGCAAGTTAGGAAACATTTTTTTTTTATTTCTTTTTAGTTACATTTTGTTAACTCTGTGTCCCAGCTGTATCCCGCTCCCTCATTCCCTCCCCAACCCCACACTCCCTCTCTGGTCTCCTCCCTGCCCCTTTCCAAGTCCCCTGGTAGGGGAGGACCTCCTCCCCTTTCATCTGACCCTGTTTTATCAGGTATCTTCAGGGCTGGCTGCAAAGTCCTCCTCTGTGGCCTAACAGACTGCTCCTCCCCTGGGGGGGCGGTGTCAAACTGCCTGCCCTTGAGATCCTGTTAGAAATAGTCCGTGTTCCCCTTACTTTGGAAAACTACTTGGTTACTGAGCTATCACAGGCCACATCCGAGCAGAAGTTCTAGGTTATATCCATAGATGGTCCTTGGTTGAGTGTCAGTCTCAGAAAAGACCCTGTGCCCAGATATATTTGGTCCTTGTAGAGCTCCTATCCTTTCCATATCATACTAACTTCCCTTCTTTCATATGATTCCCTGCACTCTGCTGAGGGTTTGGTTATGAGTCTTAGTGTCTGCTTTGAAACACTGCTAGGTAGAGTCTTTCAGATGCCTTTTGTGGTAGACTCCTGTCATAAGTTCAATGCACATCCCATTTGTCTTTCTAAATGAGGATTAATCACCTTCGCCTGTGTCCACTTTCTTGATTATCTTCTTTAGGTGTGTAGATTTCATTATGTTTATCATGTCTTGTAGGTCTATATAAGCGAGTATATACCAAGTTTGTCTTTCTCCTTCTGGGATATTTCACTCAGAATGATCTTTTCTAGATCCCACCACTTGCCTGCAAATTTCATGATTTCCTCCTTTTTGATTGCTGAGTAGTATTCCATTGTGTAAAAATACCACAATTTCTGTATCCATTCCTCCGTTGATGGACATCTGGGTTGTTTCCAAGTTCTGGCTATTACAAATAAACCTGCTACGAACATGGTTGAACAAATGTCCTTGTTATGTACTTGAGCAAATTTTGGGTATATACCTAGGAGTGGTATAGCTGGGTCTTGAGGTAGCACTACTACTAGCTGTCTGAAAAAGCGCCAGATTGACTTCCAGAGTGGTTGAACCAGTTTACATTCCCACCAGCAATGGAGGAGGGTTCCCTTTTCTCCACAACCTCTCCAGCATGTGCTATCACTTGAGTTTTTCATCTTGGCCATTCTAATGGGTGTAAGGTGAAATCTCAGGGTCGTTTAGATTTGCATTTCCCTAATGGCTAATGAGGTTGAGCATTTCTTTAAGTGTTTCTCTGCCATTCGACGTTCCTCTTTCGAGAATTCTCTGTTTAGCTCTGTTCCCCATTTTTAAGTGGATTACTTGGTTTGTTGCTTTTCTGCTTCTTTAGTTCTTTATATATACTTGATATTAGCCCTCTGTCAGATAAAGGGTTGGTGAAGATTCTTTCCCAATCTGTAGGCTGTCTATTTGTTTTGATGACAGTGTCTTTTGCTTTACAGAAGCTTTTCAGTTTCATGAGGTCCCATTTATTGATTGTTGCTCTTAGAGCCTGTGCTGTTGGTGTTCTGTTCAGGAAGTTGTCTCCTGTGCCAATGAGTTCTAGGCTGTTTCCCACTTTTTTTTCCAGCTGATTTAGAGTATCTGGTTTTATGTTGAGGTCCTTGATCCACTTGGACTTTAGTTTTGTGCAGGGTGATAAATATGGATCTATTTTCATTTTTCTGCATGTAGACATCCAGTTGGCCCAGCACCATTTGTTGAAGATGCTGTCTTTTTTCCATTGAATGGTTTTGGCTTCTTTGTCAAATATTGAGTATTCATAGGTGTGTGGGTTTATTTCTGGGTCTTCTATGTGGTTCCATTGATCCTCCTTTCTGTTTCTATGCCAATACCATGCAGTTTTTATTACTGTTGCCCTGTAGTACAGCTTGAGATCGGGAATGGAGATACCTCCAGATGATCTGTTGTTGTACAGGATCGTTTTGGAGATTCTGGGTTTTTTGTTTCTCCATATGAAGCTGAGAATCTTTTTTTCAAGGTCTGTAAAGAATTGAGTTGGTATTTTGATGGGAATTGCATTGAATCTGTAGATTGCTTTTGGCAGGATGGCCATTTTCACAATGTTAATCCTACCAATCCATGAGCACGGGAGATCTTTCCATCTTCTGAGATCTTCAATTTCTTTCTTCAAAGACTTGAAGTTTTTCTCAAACAGGTCTTTCACTTGCTTGGTTAGAGTCACACCAAGGTACTTTATGTTATTAGTGGCTATTGTGAAGGGTGTTGTTTCCCTAATTTCTTTCTCAGCCTTTTTGTCTTTGGTATACAAGAGGGCTTCTGATTTTTTTGAGTTGATTTTGTATCCTGCCACTTTGCTGAAGGTGTTTATCAGCTGAAGAAGTTCTCTGGTTGAATCTTTGGGGTCGCTCATGTATACTATCATATCATCTGCAAATAGTGACACTTTGACCTCTTCCTTTCCGATTTGTATCCCCTTGATCTCCTTTAGTTGTCTTATTGCTCTGGCTAGTACTTCAAGTACAATGTTAAAGAGATATGGAGAGAGTGGGCAGCCTTGTCTTGTCCCTGATTTCAGTGGGATTGATTTAAGTTTCTCTCCATTGAGTTTGATGTTGGCTATAGGCTTGCTGTATATTGCCTTTACTATCTTTAGGTATGTGCCTTGTATCCCTGATCTCTCCAAGACTTTAAACATAAATGGGTCCTGGACTTTGTCAAATGCTTTTTCAGCATCTAAGGAGATGATCATGTGGTTTTTCTCCTTCATTTTGTTTATGTGGTGGATTACATTGATGGATTTCCGTATGTTGAACCACCCTTGCATTCCTGGGATGAAGCCTACTTGGTCATGGTGGATGATATCTTTGATGTGTTCTTGGATTCGGTTTGCAAGTATTTTATTGAGTATTTTTGCATCAATGTTCATAAGAGAGATAGGTCTGAAGTTCTCTTTTTTCGTTGGATCTTTGTGTGGTTTAGGTATCAAAGTGACTGTGGCTGCATAGAATGAGTTTGGTAGTGTTCCTTCTGTTTCTATTTTATGGAATAGTTTGAGGAGAATTGGTGTTAGTACTTCTTTGAAGGTCTTGTAGAATTCTGCGCTGAAGCCATCTGGTCCAGGGCTTTTTTTGGAGGGGAGACTGTTAATGACTGCTTCAATTTCCTTGGGAGATATAGGACTATTCAGTCTTTCTACCTGATCTTGACTTAATTTTGGTAGATGGAATCTGTCAAGAAAGTTATCCATTTCATTTAAATTTTCAAATTTTGTGCCATATAGGCTTTTGTAGTATGACCTAATAATCGTTTGGATTTCCTCAGTGTCTATAGTTATGTCCCCATTTTCCTTTCTGATTTTGCTGATTTGTATGGTTTCTCTCTGCTTTTTAGTTAGTTTGGCTAAGGGTTTGTCTATCTTGTTGATTTTCTCAAAGAACCAGCTTTTTGTTTCATTGATTCTTTGGATAATTTTATTTGTTTCTAATTGATTGATTTCTGCCCTTAGTTTGATTATTTCCAGCCGTCTGCTCCTCTTGGGTGTATCTGCTTCTTTTTTTTCTAGGTTTTTCAGTTGGGCCATTAAGTTGTTTGTATGTGATGTTACGGATTTCTTCTTGCAGGCACTTAGTGCTATAAATTTTCCTCTGAGCACTGCTTTCAGTGTGTCCCATAAATTTGGGTATGTTGTGCCTTCATTTTCATTGAATTCTAGAAAGTCTTTAATTTCTTTCTTTATTTCTTCCTTGACCCAGCTGTCATTGAGTAGTAAGTTGTTCAGTTTCCATGTGCCTGTCGGCTTTTTGTTGTTTCTGTTGTTGTTGATGTCCAGCTTTAGTCCATGGTGGTCAGATAGTATACAAGGGATTATTTCAATCCTTTTGTATCTGTTGAGGCTTGCTTTGTGACCAACTATATGGTCTATTTTGGAGAAGGTTCCATGTGGTGCTGAAAAGAAGGTGTACTCTTTTGAGTTTGGGTGAAAAGATCTGTAGACATCTATTAGGTCCATTTGATTTAGGGATTCTGTGAGTGCTTTTATTTCCCTATTTGGTGTCTGTCTGGTTGATCTGTCCCTTGATGAGAGTGGGGTGTTGAAGTCTTCCACTATTAAGGTATTAGGATCAATGTATGATTTAAGCTTTAATATTGTTTCATTTACGAATGTAGGTGCTCTTGTATTTGGGGCATAGATATTCAAAATTGTGATGTCCTCTTGTTGGCTTTTTCCTTTGATGAGAATATAGTGGCCCTCCTTATCTTTTTTGATTAACTTGGGTTGAAAGTCTATTTTATTAGATATTAGGATGGCTACTCCAGCTTGTTTTCTGGAACCATTTGCTTGAAAAACATTTTTCCAGCCCTTTACTCTGAGGTAGTGTTTATCTTTGTTGCATAGGTGTGTTTCTTGGATGCAACAGAATG